CCTCCTCAGATTCCTCAGACTCAGCTGTTGGGAACACAGGCTGGCACGGAATCACAACATCTTTTTCCCCACTCTGCTGTTCTGCAATGCTCACTTCATTGTTGGAATAAATAGCAAGAAGGAAACCAATGTTTGTATTTACACTCATTGGAGTGGAAGAATTACAAGAGAGTAAGCAAGCACACAATGAGGAACACAAATCAAAAGGAATGCACCCTAGCCAACTATGACCTCCATGTGATGGTGAGACCTTTTTTGGATGGTCCACACCAGGCACCTAATGAATCCTGGAGGATGCTGAAAAGAAATTTCCCAGCCTTCTGGTGGGCAGCTCTGTTTGGTACCTGATGAGCAACTGGTTATTGGAGGTGAATGAGGCTCTTGGGGCTAATCCCAGTGGGCACCTTGGCTCACTAAGGCTTTCTGAGACATGAATATCCAGAAAGTATTCCTGAAGCACTGGAGGAAAAACAAGAAGTAAATGTAAATAGGAACAAGCTTGAGTATGTGCCTCATTTTGTTGATAAGCATGTTTATTTCCCCTCCTTTGTGGCATCTATGGGGTGTATTCCATGCTCTTTTTTAGAGTTACCAACTCCTTATTGAGGAAGGGACAGTCTCGAGATTCCTTCACTTGACCACTATAGCTCATCTGCACAACATTTTGCTGATGTTAGGGTAAGATATCATAAGTATGTTGATAATGCCTAATGATATATTGCTACCCAGGCTGTAATGGAGATGTCATCAATGTAGTGATGCCTGATGCTTGGAGGCAGAGAATTATCTCAATTATTTCATATATTTGGCTCCGGTGTACAACTTCTATAACTGTTTTTGCCAACATTTCAATAGAATCTGCTTTCTTGTAATTTAAATCCATTCTTCTGTGTTCTGCATTCTGGACTTCTTTATATTGTACATAACATCCTTTGAAGACAGCTATAATATTCCCTCTCAATCAACTTTACTCAAGGTGTAACATACTCAATTACTTCATATTTCTTCAGAAGGCTTCCTTTCTAGTTCCATGATTATTCTTCTTGCCTTCCCAGCGCCTGTACTATATTTGCTTAATATGCTTTGAAGCAGTTAAAGACTAACTTTGCATGAATAACATTTACATTTTTCAGATATTAAATGTGAAACATGTAGAAACTCCTATATTTTCTGAATAATATAAGAATTCAAAGGGAAAAAAGTCAGCTTCATTTAAATTAAACAGCAATTCTTGCTATTGCTAAACAAGCAACAAGGAAACCAAAAAAAGTAGAATGGGTCCCAGATTAGAGCCCAGCAGGATAAAATGGGTGTCAGAATTATACACTCAGATTTTATCATACAGATAAATGTTCCTCAATGTTTTGGCTTAGAAGTATTTCAAAGAAAGCCCAAAGAACATAAATTACATGAAGATATATATTCATTTCTTATAGAGAATGCAGGGAACTCATTCCTCAAAGAAAGCTAATAATCAATAGATGTATTTTACTTCTAAGATTAAATTTACCTTTAGGCCACTTAAAAACAAATAGTTTCTAATCCAAATAACAATAATATGGTATTGTCTACCGCTTACATTAGGTAATCCATCTGTCATTTTGCTGAAATTTATATTTGGGAAGCTTTAGCAAATTTATACTCACTAAGGTTCACAATGATGAAATTAAGAATTCAGGTAAGAAGTACATGAAAAATTCCTGGAGTTCTCCAAATCACAAGAGAAAAAAATGTTATTTTTGTGATTGTGGTTCTAGAAATGCATTTTAATACTTAATCCTTGCCTTTTTTCAAAGACGAACTGTTCCAGTTTTTCAGGGGTTAATAATTAGGTAATGGAAACGTATTAAATGAAGACTGTAATGCTTTAATGAACTGGCTTGTTAACCGTAGATACAAGTAATGAGCTTGCACGAGTAGCTTGCTAAAAGAGAGCAGTCTGTTGCTCAATGGATTTAGAACTGATCAATATCAAGTTTTATGATTAACTAACTGAAGACTAATGATTCACCTGAACTTATAGTCAATGAAGCAGAGAATGGACAAAGGAGGAGCACCAGAAAATCATAAAAGGAGTTAACAGTGTGTCAAAAGACATGGAACAGTCACTAATGGCTTTGTTCAGATGTAAAAACTGCTAAATTAGAATGCCTAATTAAATTCCACAGTAAGCAATGAAGTCTTAGCTAGACATGGCATTATCCTCTTTTTATTATTTCTTACAGCAAACATTTGTATTATCTTATAATAACTATAAATGTAAAAATTATAGACATTGTGAACCTGGAAGCAAAAGGAAATGTTTGGCAACTCTTTTGAAGGTAGAAATACTTCAGGTATTTAGCATTAACACTGAAATGAATTATTGTATTCATGTACTTATTCTCAGCAATTACTGACAATAATGATAAATTCATATTTTACAGCTGCTTATGATAAATTTTAAAATGCTTTAAAATGTTTAAAACATTCCCTCATAATCTTATTAATACTTTTTAAAAAATAAATCTATATCCATCTTTTCCAGAAACTTAGGACTTGACTTAATGTGTCCAAAGTAGGATAATTTGAACCTGGTCTTTTGTGTGAGTGAAAACACTGGGTTGATTTATCATCCATTTGTTTGTTTTCTTGGCTGTCTATGGTATTCTCAGAAGTCTTCTCCAACATCAAAGTTCAAAAGCATCATTATTTTTCCAACTTTCAGTTTCTTAGAGTGTCACAAGAAATGCCATGTCTTGCACCATTTGTAGATACAGTATCATGACATCTGAATATCTTTTCTAAGATCTTCCAGTGGCTGCTCTTCCAAGAGTTAGTCGGTGGAATATTTATTGATTATTTGTTCCTTTACTATAGGTAGTCCTTGACTTCAACTTGTCATTTAATGATCCTTTGAAATCATGAAATCTTGTAAAGGGTGCTTTATGGCCCATAATGCACTTCTAGCCATTGTAAAATGTCATGCCGTTCCCTTCCCCAATAGTCACGTGACTGCATTTCAGCACTTGGCAAGAGGCTCACATTTATAACTGGTTGCAGTGTTCCCTAATCATGTGACTTTGTTTTGTGATGGATGTTTTTGGCCAGTTTCTGGTGTTCTTTGATGGTTTCTTGCAAAAAAACACCCATTGGGCATAATGGATTCATAATTATGGCTACTTGACTCATTCAATCCTAAAAACAGTCATAAAATCGGATCCACTCACATGGGTGTGTCAGGTTATGACTAAAATTCTGGTCCCAAATGTGATCATTTGCTGAGGACTACCTGTATTGATGGCTGATTCTAAAATGCAGAAGCTATTTACTACTCTGATATCATCCTTGACAATTCTATGAGTGGTTATTGTGCCTGTGGTCATTTAGTTTGGTCTTCTTTATATACTTCCCATTTTTTTTTCATCCCTGCTCCTTGATTTTTATTACTAGACCTTGCAGGCCTTTTGCATTATCAGCTATTAATCATATTAATAATTACTCACATTATTATTATTATTTTAATTACTCACATAATTATTGTAAGCATCCTATATAATAATGTTTGGGAATTAAACATTAATTAATGAGGAATCAGGTTAAGAATAAGTATTATTACAAAGTGGTCAGTGGACACTGATTTTTTAGTTATTGAATTGAAAGAAAGAAGAACTTGAACAAAATTCTTAAGTACTTGCAATCAGCTTGCAGTTCCTAATATACATAGACAGTTATATTAAACAGATGAAATTCCATCATTCAACTTCAAACATGTAGTATCTTATTCCTGTTTATAATAAGGAAAAAAGGGCTAAATAATTGAAGAGGCAATTTCATGCCTCTTTCATGCAATAATCCATCTTGTATTTTAGGCAATTTTCTCCTCTCAACTACTTATCCCAAAGACGTTTCGGGTATTATGGAGAAAGTTCACTGTTTGAGTAGCCATAGGGTAAGCTATTTCATAGCAGATGACATCAGATTCAATCTAATCTTATTCAAAATTTGATTTGGCAGTTATTTTATGTTTATCAGCTTTAAAATATGTTTGAACGACAGTTTTTTTTTATTTTGAGTGGAAAGCTCCTGTATAGTAAATAACATATTATTACTATTCATTAAAATAATGGACTAGATTTAATTTACACAATGGAATAATTAAAGTGTTAAAATGTTTCTGAATATGTTCACAAACAAGATGTTCCATAAAAAATGATGAGGAATAATTAATTGTACTGCAGCATGTATTTCTGAGAGGCTATTTTATAATATTTCAGACACTATCATTTGCTATTTTATTGTTTTATGTTTGTTTTATGTTACTGGTTGTATTGCTTTTGTGAACCAGTTATTTAAGTTAGGTGGCCATATAAATCTTTTAAATAAAATAATATAATAAAATAAAATGGATCAGGAAAGAAATCTCTTTGAGAACATAGGCTTACCTTTAAAAATGCCTTCTTTTCCAAAGTATTCATTATGAATGGGGGAATGGCTAAAAGACAGTAAGAAAAAGTTTTGTGCTTAATAATTTCATGCTATCCTGTATGCTGCTTTAGGAAGAAAAATATTTTGACAGATGACTTAGAAGTTAAACATTTCTTAAAACATGTAGATAGAACAGAACCCTTAGCAAATCTTTAGAGCAACTTCAATAGCATGAGAAATTTTATCCTTAAAATTTAATCTCTCTCTCTCTCTCTCTCTCTCCATGGATTCTATTTGGATGACTTTGGGCCAATCATTTTTCTCAGTACTTTTGTAAATTTTGTAAATTTAATAAAGAGACATGAACTTGGTAATTCTCTTGGTTTACTATTTGTATTTCCTCTTTAATTTTTAAAACTTCAGCCAGCTTCCTTTGGATATCCAGTAAAAAGTCCTTATTCATGTCTTCCTCTTGGCCTGTCACTAGTATTTCCACTTCCAGCTTTCTCTGTTTTGTAATCCATACTTTTCAAAAACAATATTTCTGATTCTACTATTACTTCATCAAACAAGATTTGTTTCACATCTGTCATTATTTCATTAACATTCTTTAAATAGAGTCTATCCATAGAAGCATGCATCATTACTGATACTGTTGATATTGTGGCTACTAATTTCTGGTCCCATTCTTCAAAGTTCTTTTTTAATATTCCAAATGTTAAAGTATTTTCTGTTATTTTATAAATCCCAATCCTAATCAAGATTAAAAGCACTGATTTTTGATACATCATAATGAAATACATATATACCATATGTTTCTTACAAGTATTCTCTACAGCCTTAGGGGTAAGAGGTGCTGGTAAAGGAGCTGGAGTAATTGCTCTTGAGCTATCAATTACTTTTCTGAGAAAAGCACAACAGTATTAGAAGTAATTCTAATTTTTAAGAATTGTTAGAAGAATGTCAGCATTAAACTTAATGGAAGTTGGGACACACCCATTCCTGGAGCAGCCATAAGGATCCTTGAAACCACAACTTGCACAATTGCCTGTTGAGCAGCTTTGGATGATTCACCCAGTCTATTCCCATTTTCGTCTGTAATGGGAATACCATACTTTAGTTCCCTGTTGAGTTTTTTAAAAAGAAAAAGAAAAAGAGCTGAGAAGATCATTGTTTCATTCTTAAAGGACTCCAAATGCTTACATCAATGTCTTTTCAAGTCATATTTCAAGTCATATTTCACAATCATTTCTGAACTTTTAGTGATCCTTCTGTATATTGTGTGATGTTTAATAGGGTCCATAGGATGTGCAGAATGCCTAAATTGACATCACACTATCATGACATAAGCCCGGCCTCTTTTCCTTGTGCATCATGATATTGCACAGATGGATTTTAGGTATACAGGTAGTTCTCAACTTATAACAGTTCGTTAAGTGACCATTTGAAGTTACAATGGCAGTGAAAAAAGTGAAAAAAATGATAACCATTTTTCACACTTATGACTGTTGCCCATGGTCACATGATCAAAATTCAGACACTTGGCAACTGACTCATATCTATGATGGTTGCAGTGCCCCAGGGTCATGGGATCACCTTTTGAGAACTTCTGACAAGCAAAGTCAATGGGGAAACTTGATTTACTTAACAATTGTGTTACTAACTGAACAATTGCGGTAATTCACTTAATAACTGTGGCAAAAAAGGTCATAAATGGGGCAAAGCTCACTTAACAACTTTCTCACTTAGCAACAGAAATTTTGGGCTCAATTGTGGTCATACATTGAAGACTGACTGTAGTCAATAAGATAGATTTGATAAATTGAAAATCAATTCCTCAAATTTCAATAGCTGAACTAATAGTTAATTAATATGTCTACCCATACATGATTCTGCGTAGTTATTAAACAGCAATAACAATAAAAACATCTGAAATTAAAACCAACAGAACTAGATAAAATAGTAGCTGACAATATTCATACACACACAGAGACACAAAAATGGGTTTTTATCACTACTAGATGGAAAAAAACAGCTTTTTGTGCCTTGCAAAGGGCCAAGGGTGTCTTTTAGATATTATGTTCTACCCTTAATTATTTTTTGTTTATGTGAAGTTGCTTTAGAAATCCCCCTTCTCACATGCAGCAGTTCTTTGCAAACAGGTACATTCCTGAATTGGTGCTTCTGGTAGATCTAAAGGACAAGAATGTTTCAAAATGTTTCCTGATTTCCCAAGTTTGAAAAAAAAAAACCATCTCTTTCATAAGGAACTTGGAGTTAATATACCTCTTACAGAAAGAGAAACTAAGTATGGGGCAAACATTTCAAAATTCTTTTTAGCTTAACTTAAAAATGATGTATTTCATATGAACATGTTTGGGGTGTGTGTGTGTGTGTGTGTGTGTGTGTGCGTGTTTATGTTGGAGAACACAGTCAGTGATGGCAAGCTGCCAGGAAGCCCTGAAGATCACATGTTATGGTTCATCTTACCTTTGCCTCATTAATGGAATATTAATACAGTTTGCAGCAGCTACAGCAGCAAAAGGAACAAAACGTCCTATAAGTGGTGAAACATGCTGTGGAAAAAGAAGAGAGGGTCATCTGACTATGGCTAACCCTGGTTAATTTTTTCCCCCTGACTTAAGCCATGAAGGACAGCAGCAAAAAGTCTAACAGTAATAATATTTTATGATCGGCTGTCTGAAGAATGCAGATCGAAACAGCAGAGAATGTACAGTAACTGTATCTCTTGGTAATGTATTTAAATATTGTTTCTTAAAAGAAATTAATGATAGTTTCCTCCACTGCATTTTTCTGAAAATAGACATGTTGCACTATCTACCAATGAACCCAGAAAGCAGAACCTGTTTTCTTTCACTTAAACAATAGTGAAACAGTTACTATAACTACAATAAGTTTCTCTTCCGAGGAAGAACCTGCATCAACCTTGTGACCAATTTTAGAATCAGGTTACTTTGGTCTGTCAATGAGTCACAATTTACTCAGAATTCTTTTTTTCCTTGCAGGAAAGATTCTTTTTTATTTGATTCATGCAGTGGACAGCAAAGATACAGACTCTACATACGTCATGAGGATTTTCTACAGGGCAATTTGAAGGAGGATTTCAAAGAATATAACGTAACTTTCAAGAGCCCACTGTACTCAGTATCTATGTGCATCAGCTGCTTACGTATTTTCAGTACAAATTGTATTCTCTAAGGATTTGTGTCTGATGACACATTTGTTTACTATTTATATTTGAATAAATATATGCAAAATATATATGGAAAGATACACATGTACACACACAATAAGAGAAAACTACATATTTTTGTCTCTAATATCTAGTTTCTGATTGCAGAGAAGATATATGCATAAATTACTACTCAGTTAAACCAAGAAATTCAACATGGAGGATCTATAAAATCATTCAGTGATCTTATGATAACACAAATAAGAATAAATGCATTGTTTTTTTATCAGCCAGGTTAACTTCATGCATATAACGTTATATAAAATTTTCACAACAATCTACACTATAGTCTCAAACAAGAAGAGAATAATGGAAATACCTTTGTGAGTGCATTAAGTCCTAGAGCAGTTGCAACAGCACCTGTGGTAGCAGAAACATAGGCTGTTCCCAGCTGGCTAAAACAAAAATATGAATGTTTGTATATGTACAAGAACCACATGCTCTGAATCTTCAGTTTTTGATTCTATTCGCATAACTGGCATAATGGCAACCTATTTTATGGCAGCAATACAAACATTGCCAAAAGATAAACTAGGGCAACCTAGTGGCTGGGAAGTTTTCTTTTCCAGTTTTCTAAAGTCCCTTTTCAAGGACAATAGGGACTGATAAAGCAATGGAAAAGGTGGATATTGCCCTTAAAAAAAACTATGTTACTTTTACTAAGTTATCTTAATAGACTCACTTGTTTCATTATGAATCTGCCTAATCTTTGCAGCATAAGCACTTTTAATAGCTCTCCTGAATTGGATATGTTCTCCCCCCCCCCTGCATTACTTCTGAATTATAAAACACTGTTCCTTCCAGTTAGAATTGGTTTTTCTCTTTTGGAATTTAGTTCACACATTTCTCTTTAATTTGATCTCCTGAAATTATTAGTTGATCTTTTAATGCCATTTTATTCATTAGTTATATAAATATGCTATATCATGCAGGCATTCAAAGCAATGGAATATATGTGGCTTTATTTTAGTCTCACAACAACTCCTCTGTAGGATAGGTTAGGCTGAAAGGAAGTGTAAAGTTACCCAGTGAATTACTATGACTATGAGTAAGCTTGAAAATACTTTTCCAGTATGCGGATTTGTGCTTTTATTACTTGCATACATTTATCGGAATTTTTTTAATGACTAATTTCACTATAACACTTGTAGAAAAAAAGATATCTACATTCAGCTTTAAAAAGTCATGGTTCTGTGACAGGTCCATTCTCAGAAATCTTTAGTTTAAGGCCAGGAAACACCTAAGGAGTATATTTGGGTTGGCAATTCATATCCAGCCTTTCCAAGAGTGTCAGGAAGCCATAAAATGGACAGCTACACCAGAGCTGTATAGTTTGGGACCCAGAGCTACGTATGGCCCCTAAAAACCTTTGATGAGACACCTAGTACTCATTCAGAGTTTGCCCCCAACTGTAATTTTTAGATGGCAGAAGGAAGAAGTTATTCAGAAGAATTGTTAACACAATAACTATATTTAATTCATTTAATTTTAACTATTTTAGATCATATTTTATTCTGGCCTTGTGTAGCTCCTGGCATGTAATTTAAAGGCCAAGTGTGGCCCGTAGCTTGTGCAGCAATACTTGGCTATATCTTCTATAGAAAGTGGCTTAAGTAATTTAAACCTACTTTCAACAGAGTGATTTGACATAATAGATATTTTCACAAGAGCTGAAAGAGATGGACTATCCTTACAATACTGCAAAGCCAATGCATGCTATAAAGCAGAGGTCTTCAAACTTGGCCCTTTTATGACTTGTGGACTTCAACTCTCAGAATTCCTCAGCCAGGCATGCTAGCTGAAGAATTCTGGGAATTGAAGTCCACAAGTCATAAAAGGGCCAAGTTTGAAGACCCCTGCTATTAGGGGTGCTTCTCTTGAAGATTAGACTATGCTTAGGATAAATACCTCAACCTGTGCTTTCTACCTTCAATACTGACTTGGCCTTAGTTCCATGAAGAGCTGTTGGAAAAAAAAATTCAAGACGGTGATGCCCTTGCCTCAAGCATAGTGCCTTGATTTGTTGAAGATCATTACTTCCTAGCAATATACTCCAGGCCACACTGTTCAAAATTTAAATGCAGCTATCTATTTGTCTAACATCTCTAAGTGGTCTCCTTCTATATTTCCCAGGCACCAGTTTACATTTTTAAATCACAGGATATTTAGAAAACTCTCGCTGAAGTTAGAAACATCGCAAACTGTCACAGTCAGTTGCACGTGGCATTTTGAAGTGTTCTGATTCCCATCAACTGAAATCCATAATGAATGACTTAGAATGCATTAGTGACCTAATTAGTCTTTTTAACAATGCAAATGATCTTGCGGGATGGTCAACATGCAAAGAAATTGTGTTTAGTAACAGATAGGGATAACTCGGCAGTCATGCATCTAGTAGCATTTTGTATGCTGATAATATTTACGTGAAGGGCTTTAAATATTTTAAATGCACTATATGCTTATTATATATTACTGTTATTAAATTAGCATCACTTCTATTTTTCCCCATTATAGTTTACCTTGTGCTTATATGTCGTCACGTCAAGCCATTCTATGAAAGACCACATTGCAGATTTAATAATAATCTTAACAAAGCAATTTATGATCCATTATCATTATAGTGCTGAAAGCCATTCAGAAAAAGCAGAGAGGCCATGCAATTCTCAGAACAGTGCAGATCTGAAACTTGAAATCTACAATAATTTGGCCCCTCTTTTCTGCATCATGGTGATAATTACCACAGTTTTCCATTTTTTTCTCCCCTTTTTACGGGAGATTCTTTAACTATCAGTCAATTAAATCAATGAACCAGCATCCTCAGGTCTATACTGACTCAATAATATCATAGCAATTTAAAACATACTTTTAAACCTGTAGCGATTATAGCGACAAAATATTTTCTACAGCAGTTCATGTTAAGCTTCATATTAGACCTAGCTTCAAATTAGAGCACATATTTTATTCAACATACTTGAATTATCTGCTTGGTGCATCTTGATGGCTTTACCTGACATTAATTGGAGCATCTCCACTCCTGTTGGTATAATTTACAATAGCATTGAAGGATTGATTAATCCATTGCCAGAAAACCACGGCTGGAGTTGTTCTTGGAAGAAGGAAAGGACAATTAATTTTCAATAAATTTTGATATGAGCTCAGTCTGATAAAATAACAAAATAGATAAGGTACTGTAGTATATTTATATTAAATCTATCCAGATGATAATGAAATTTCATCCTTTAAACATAGTTTAGATCAGATTAACTCAAGAGTGAATCAAATTATTTTGGGCCAGAGCTAAAAAAAACTCATTTTGAGCTGTCAAAACAACTAAGGATTACTTCACAGAACAATAGTTTACCTAAACAAAATGCAGAATTATACATGTAGTTCTCAACTTACGACAATTGAGCTCAGAATTTCTGTTGCTAAGTGAAACATTTGTTAAGTGAGTTTTGCCCCATTTTATGACTTTTCTTGCCACTGTTGTTAAGTGAATCATGGCAGTTGATAAATTAGTGACACGGTTGTTAAGTGAAAGTAGTTTCCCCATTGACTTTGCTTGTCAGAAGTTTGCAAAAGAGGATCACATGACCCCGGGACACTGTAACCGTCATAAATATGAATCAGTTACCAAGCATCTGAATTTTGATCATGTGACCATGGGGATACTGCGATGGTTGTGTGGAAAATAGTCATGGCACTTTTTTCAGTGATGTAACTTTGAACGGTCACTAAATGAACTGTTGTAAGTCGAGGACTACCTGTACGCAAAGTCTTAGGAAAAATGCTACAGTTTGAATATAGCCATCGCTTATCTTATGGGGTCAGTGGGAGAATTATGTCTGCTCCTTTCTGTAATGTGCCTTCCTAGTTTGCTGCAGCCAGCATCAGAAATGGAGGCAATGGGTGTTCTTTTGAGGATGAAGTGGCAGAGTGTTTTTCATTGCTTGTTAAAGTTTAAATAAAACACTTCCTCTTTTTATCTCAGCTCTAAATCTGGTGTAGTTATTAGAACAGTTCTGGAGCATGATGGGAGTATTTGGATTTTTGAAGAACGAAAGCCTCCATTATCCTCCTTCCTCTGTTATCAGAGTGCTAATTGAGGAGAAAGAATCACAGTAGAAATTTGGGCTACCACAGCAAAATCCCTGGCAGATCGCCTTTATTGACCATGAAAAGAGAAGCCAGAGGTGGTCTAAGGCCTCTGGGAAGCTCTTTCAGAATTGCTCCAAAGAAAGGAAAATAATGTTTTATTCATCTTCTTTGTTATGGTAACAAAGCTTTGATCGTTTTTCCAATTCACTTGGAAATATTTGATAGAAAATTTGCCTGTCAGACAAAATTTCCCTATGTTTCAAATGCTCACAAGTAGGAAAATATAATTCTTTTTGTTGTTGCCGTTAAATCAAGGACATAAACAGATATGTACCCAGAAGTACAAATCCCTACCATTAAAAAGTAATAAAGCACAGAACAGACACAAATAAATAACACATTCTGAAGAAGAACTGACATGCCACTATTAGACTAGACCTGTCAAAATCCATTCTGAATTCTCTTTGTTGGGTGCTTTAAATCAGGGGGGGAGGGAAGAGGGGATGGTTTTGTGGGAGGGGGAGGCACAAGCGGGACCAAATGCCTGCGATGCACGTGCATATGAGCCTCCAAGCAGCCATTGTTTGCACAAGTGGGGCTGAGAAGGGCGCCCATGATGCTTGCGTGAGGCTCCAAGCGCCTGCAACACTCACTCAAGGCTCTAAGTGCCCATAACGCTCACGTGAGTGGGGCTGTGAGCGCCCACGACCCTCATGCGAGTGGGGCCACGAGCGTCTGTGACACTTGCATGAGTAGGGCTGTGCACGCACGCACCAGCCAGCCATTCACGCGGCCTGGTTGCAAATAGTAGTGGGCCATGGCCCACGGGTTGGGGATCCCTGCTTTAAATAATAGGATGAGAATTTGGGCACCTCATTGTAAATGTCATGATAAAAGACAGAAGCATCTGAAGCCCATGTGATAACTAATTCTAGACAAAACTGTTTATCATTACAAATGAGGAAATCATTAGTAAAAAGGCAAAGTGTTCCCTTTAGCAGTCTTCCGGAACATTCAACATATATCTCTGATATTTTTTAAAACCCAAGTCTTAAAAAATATTTATTCCATTCATGATTATTTATCAGTAAGTTATGACTACTTACCTATAAAAAGTCATCATGAAGCCAGTAATTGTCATGTTCATAGGCACCTGAGCAGACATACGGCCAATCAAAACCATCTTTTCACCAGTATCTGGATGGAAGGCTGAATCATAGATATATTTTCCTCTCCAGAGTTCATCTTCTGTTAACCCAGGGGCCACAATGCCTTGCCTTATGATTAGCAGAAATACATACAAATATTTAATCATTAATATAATACTACCAATATTTTAGTTCCCAAAGGTTAAGGAATATTTTTTAAGTATAAATCATATCCCCTTGTTAGAAACTGTTTCTATATCTATGTCTGCTCTTTTCAAAATTATCAAAACTACATGGTTTCATAATCATTGGAGGAAAATATGCATAATTTTTTCTATACCGGTAGTCCTCGTCTTACAACAGTTCGTTTAGTGACTGTGTGAAGCTTCAATGGCACTGAAAAAACTGACTCATGACCATTTTTCACACTTATGACCATTGCAGCTTCCCCATGGTCACATGAGTTACATTCGGATGCTTGATAACTAACTCACATTTATGATGGCTGCAGTGTCCCACAGTCATGTGATCCCCTTTTGTGACCTTCTGATAAGTCAGTGGGGAAACCAGATTCACTTAACAACCGGGTTACTAATTTAAGAACTGCAGCAATTCACTTAAAAAGTGTGGCAAGAAAAGTCATAAAATGGGGCAAAACTCATTTAACAAATTTCTCACTTAAATGTTGGGCTCAATTGTGGTCGTACGTTGAGGACTACCTTTAATTGGTGCTTCCTTTTCATTTCCAAAATAATTCTAATGTGAAAACATTAGCATTTTTGGAGTCACGATTTCCCAGTTTTCTCCTTGTTACAGAACATTAACTCCTGACTCCCGAAGCCTAATTCCTCAATTCTAAAAGTACATTTTTTAACTTACAAAAGGGTTGTTTTCCCCAGACAAATGATTTCTCTGATCTTATTACAATGTTCCCAGAATAATGTTACCCATCTAGAGAAAGTGGAATAAAACCGGGAGAAGAAAAACCCAAAGCATACCTGTAATTGTGCACAATTGTTTTTGCTTTTTCTAATTGTTCGTTGGATAACAATATATTCCTAGGATCGGTTACAGTGAAGAAGTGGTTAGCGCGTCCAACAAATGTGCTTTGATCCCAGCGAGGCTCTTTGATGTTGATGTTTAATGGTATATCTCCCGACATTTTTTCAAGAACACTGAATATAAAACAGAGAGAGAAGTGCATTTTAGTTTCAGAGTTGTTGACATTTTTATTTCTCTTATATTGGTTAAAAAAAATGCATCTCTCCCAGATCTCTGAAGCCTTGTTAGAACTCAAATGCAATGAAAACCCATCTCTGTGGGGCAATTCTGTGCTCCTCACTGCCTGATTTTGAAACTACCCTCAAGATTTAATCATGATCCACTGCTGCAGAATTTCCTTGCAAGACACCAATTGCAATGGGATAAAACACAACAGCAACATTTATAGAAATGAATTGGCAAAAGAAGGGGAATGGTGATGTGGCTTTTGTATGCTCTGATAATTATCTGCCTAGATCCTTAGCCACGTTTAGGATCCTGTGTTGGAGCGTGGAGCAGAATCAGACAACATACAGAATTTGGAGCATAACTAGCAAATAGCCTGACTCTCCTTCCACCCACTGAATGTATTTTAATTTTGAAATGGCTCTGTTTGATTTACAATATATATTTATTATATTACGAATTCATTTTCAGAATGCCTATTAAGATTTCTGCAGAAAAATATACTAATGCATTTTAATATAAAAGTTTTCATTTACTATCACTCCTCTTCTTATTTTATGATACATTGCCATAGCCTCATTGAAAACCAGACAGGAAGACTATATATACCATACTTTCCATGGTAATCTGTTTTTAGATCATTTCACTTTAGCTTTTGTTTTCATTGCCCAAGCAGCATTTAAAACTCTGCATTAATCCAATTTACTAATCTTGTTATTTAATCTAATATTCCATGCAAAGTACTTTAAAAGTCCAACCAAATTTATATTCATAGTTTTTGAGGCTAACTCAAGGTTCTGCTTGGTTTAATTTTTAGGTCAAAGATACTTTCTTGAAAGAGGGGAATACAAAGAACTTCTTGACAAGCTTCATTCACTGTAACATTTGCTGATGCTGTTTCCCAACTTTCCCACTGCTTACTTAAAAAAATAAATAAACCCTTTTTCCTCGTGTATCGGGCAATCATAAAATTATGTGCTGAACAAAGGCTGTACACCCAATCAGATATGGTTATCTGATCATGTGGCTGATGGCAAACAAGCCAAATTAGAGTAGAAACACAAATCAGGGCTTCCAAGACTGATCACATGAGTGTTTTTTAACCCTTGTCATTTTCTTATTATATCCAGGATAATCATGTCACACCCCTAGGATCACTCTGGATGGAAAGGAGGGAGGTTTTAATTTTGCAGCCCACTGATCCCAATGCACAGATAAGCTTCCCTTTTCAGCAGTCCTGATCAGAAATTGCTCAAAAGTCATGGAGAAACTGGAATCACAATATAGGTGGAAATAATGATCTTAATTAGATAATTGGGCCTGAGGGGAGGGACTCTAACTTTGTTTTATAAAGTTTTATAAAGTAGATCTTTCTAACACATTCTATTCCTAAGCACAATTTTCCTCCTAAAAGCTTACGGGAAAAAGCCGTGGTGGCACAGTGGTTAGAATGCAGTATTGCAGGCTGACTCTGTCCACTGCCAGCAGTTCGATCCTGACTGGCCCAAGGTTGACTCAGCTTTCCATCCTTCCGAGGTCGGTAAAATGAGAACCCAGATTTTTGGGGCAACATGCTGATAGAAAATGCTGTAAAGCACTATGAAGCGGGTTTAAGTCTAAGTGCTTTTGCGATTGCTAAAAAGATTATGCAAGAAAAAACATTATTGCTTACTTTTTTCCTCAGCATAATTCTAGGAATGATCAACAGCAGGAGAGTTTGGGGGAAAGATATAAAATACGAACAGTAGAATGCCATGTAATGATTGGAACAGGTAGATTCAGTTTTAGTCCCTACTTAAACCCAGAAATTCATGCAAAGATTTAAACCAGACAGTCAGTCTGTGCTCAATCTATTTCACAGTACTGCTATGAGGATGAATTGAGAGCAGACCTTTCCCTGTCCATAGAAAAGATGGGATATACAGTAAATGCATTATATATAGAGAGGGAGATATAGCAAAAATAAATAAATATAAAAATAAGAGACAAATCCAGTAGAAAATAAGACTTTACAGATCAATAATGTACTGTATCTATCCTGAAAGAAATTGTAGCAACACCTCTTTAAATAGAATTAGATTGAACTTACGATGTTCCCACACAATTATTTTATAGAAATTTTGACCATACATCAATTGATGCATCTATACATCCCTCCAAAGGAACATTGAAGTGTTCTTTCACTGACTGCTTGTGAAAGTAGCAATTGTCCATATGCACACTGAACAGACCCTAGTTGCAGTTATACATGTGAATATGGTCTAGTAACTTCTGTAATACATGTACACTCTATGCGCACCCACACATAAATTAATAGCAGAGAAATACTGATTCAGCATAGAAGACATGAGGTACACAATTTTCTAGCAAGACTGCTCATGTATACGCATGTGGAGAGAAGTAAGAGAAGGGCTGGAAGGTGCCATGCAAAATGAAAAATAAAAATAAAAAAACCTCTTTAACAATATCCAAAGAGATGCTTCATATTCTATCTTTCAAAGTATTTGGATTTATGCATATGATGTTTTGCAAATCAGATGGTTGGTCTCATAAGAAAACTTCATTTGCAAAATTCCATATATATTTTTTGTAAAAGCTCTTGGATTTTCTTCTAGGTGATCTGCAGTTTCATATGCATGCAATGTACATCAGCAAGACCAGCTGGTACCCAAAACATTTTTTTTTCTGCTGAGAAATAGAGGTATTTTGGAATTATAAAGACATGACCTGGGTATTTGTAGTATGATAAAGTGAAGGTTAATGTGTGTGCTTTTATCATTATGTTAGATATGGCATATTGAGAATATAGAATAGATAAAACCAAGCTTGTGCCCCAAAACACTTTTGTGGTTCAAAACAGAAGAAGCATTTTATAGAAGAAAATAATAGCTAAGCACAAATGGCTAAATTATTGTGATATAAGAATTTTATCAAGGGGAATACCAAACAAAAACAAGAGATTACACTTTGTTGTAATGTTAGAGATATTATATAAAATGATGCACCATTGGTATATGATACCAGATAAATTGTGTAGAATGTATAAAAGACTTCAAATTTATGTTGGAAATGTCAACAATAAGAAGGGACATTTTATCATGTGTGATAGGCATGCTGACTGGGGAATTCTGGGCGTTGAAGTCCACACATTTTAAAGTAGCTGAGTTAAATTTAAATTTACCAACAAAGAATTAAAGGGAGCTATTTAGCTCTCATCAGCAGAAGTGGAAGCAGTATGCTCCATCCCATAGTTGGGTAGACCAGGTTGCTCTGATAGACAGGTTTCATCGAAAAACACCTAAAGTAGCTGAGGTTGAGAAACACTGGTGTAGACAAAGATGGAAAGATTAGGCAATACATAAAATGGATGAATAATGGTTGATGAACTTTTGAGATGGCCAAGTTAACTTCTTCAATCAGAGAAAAGACTATATATTGTCTCCTCGCTTGCATTTCATTTTTGCAACTTTCTTTCCTTCCCATTCCTGTCAATCTTGCCTTTCCTTCCTTGTTCCCCCTCCTGTCCTGTCTATCTATCCCGCCCGTACTTCTTACCCCCCGGCCATCTGATGCTACTACCACTGGTCTATCTTCCAATTGCCCCCCCTATGGTCACTGTGGGCTGCGCGGTCTGGATCTGATATCAACTGAGGCAATTACAGCCGGTTAGGACCTATCACAAGATCAATGGGCAGGATACTGAGTCAGCAGGGCTTATAAGAAAACTCCCAACCTCCAATACTCACTCTGACGACGCTGGCAGTGGACCAGCGAAAGCTAAGATTGTTTTAGATTTGTAAATAGTTGTTTTGTTGTTTTTCACTGTTTTAGCAATAAACAGCTGGTTTATATAATCCCAGAGTTTGAGGATTCTATGTCACTGTATATATATATGTTGCAGACAGAAAAACGTCTATGCATTTTTTTTTGCATAAAAAAAGGAGGAAAGGTTTAGGGTTTTGATGATTAGACAGGATAGTTTATAGAAAGAAGAGAGTCATGTTGTAATTCCAGATAAAGAAGTATAACTGTAAAGAAGTCTGGAAGCACTTTCTTTTTTCTTTTACTTTCTTTTTTGCACTTTTAACTTTCTCTTTGATTTCTTTTTCTTTTTAAATTTTATATTACTTTCTATTATTTTTTAATTTTCATTTTTGAAACTTTTAATAAAGTTATTTTTAAAAAATGAAAACACATTATTTTTGCACAGTAATGTGACACATAATGAGGGTCAAAAATATTTATGTCCTGCTAGTTCAATCTACTATTCTAGGACTGTAGTGTAGATAAAAGAAAAAATCAGATCAGTATTTTATTGATATTCCTCTTTGAATTTATAGTGAATGGATATAAATTTGGTTGTGACTCTTTCTAACCTATGTTCTGATCCCTATGTATTATTTCTGTGACTTGTTTTTATTTCTAAACATTTTTTAATCCTTCTCTCAGCAGCTCTGAAGCTCTCAATTTTTCCAAATGTATTCCCTCTTTCCATTCTCTCCCTCCCTCCAGCTCTTACTAATCTTGGGGCTTTCTATGTACTCAAAAACAGGCAATAGCCTCTGCATTTCATCTTCAGTGTGTTGCATTTACCACTGATTTCCCTCCCACCCACGGATTTCTTTACTTACATTTGCTTGTTTAAATAAAAGTACTGTTTTGTAACCTGGTGTTTGAGGGCTAAAGAAAAGGGCCTTCTCAGTGGTGGCCCCTTCTTTATGGAATATCATTTCCCCTGAGGTATAATTGGCTCCCACGCTGTTGCTTTTCCAAAAGGCCCTTAAAATCTAATTTTGTCAGCATGCCTGAGTACCAGGAAAGGATCAGAGTACCGATCAAAACACTGATTTGTGTTGTTGCTGCCAAGGAGTGGAGGGGTGGGGAAGAGATGGGATGGGTTTTTATTATATGGTGGGTTTTTAATTTTTTAAAAAATCA